TAAAGGGAATTTGGTATAAAGAAGAAAAATTTTAAAAACTGTATTAATTCAACATTCAGTAAATTTTTTAAATCTGTATTAATTCAACATTCAATGTTTCATTTGCATTATTTAGAGGAAGTAATGCTGTATTGTTGTAAGTGAAATATTTTGAACTGTCCCTTTTCTTTAAAAAAAATAAATAAATAAATGCGTTTTAATTTTTCCATTATTTTTTTCACTGTTTTTTTATACTTTTTAATATACATTCATTTTGATACACGGTTATTATTAAATGATAAGCAGTCATTTTGGAACATACTTAGTTTTCTCTTAATTTTCTTTTAATTCTCTTATTTTTTTCTTAATTTAAGTAATGCTTATTTACCCTACATTTTACCTTGCATTACCTTTGTATTAAAATTTTAAATAGAAATTTGAAAATGTACTTAAATATATCAGTTTTTAAGGAAGTATGCAGGCAGGGGAAACGTTCATCCAGGAGAAAATTACCAACAGAAAAGTAATTATATTTAGATATGTACGGAAATCTAATGCAGCCCTCTAAAAATAATGATTAATAATTGATAATTAGTGTTAAAGAATTACTGACATATCTCATGAAAGCCGTTGTCATAACTAATTACAGTTCAGATTTTCTTCCTGACGAAATGCCGTAATACAGATTGTTTCAATGCATCTTCTACAGCAACTTTATTTCGAGTTTCATTTGAGATTGTAGGAACACAACGGCTAAGATTAACATGACTGCGAGTTGAGTTGCGTAATCGAGTCGACTACATGAATGAAAGTCAATCTCAACAAAGTCACCCTAAGGGAAAATGTTCTTATTCAAAGATATTTATGAATCCTTTCAGCTTTTATTCTTCTCAGATATTACTCATTTTTTCTGTGTTATGTGCTATACTTGTATATACATGAGTGTAATAATTCACGTTAAATTTCTCGTGAAGATACTTTAATCCATAATGGTCCCAAGACCTCCAGGACTTAATCAATAAGCAATTTATAGTTTATCCACCTAATGGGACTTAACTGTAACATTATGTCATCGTAATTACAAGTTCAGGATTTTTAAAATAAAGAATTGCATAATCAATACTATCCAATTATTTGTACCAATCAGAAAAGACTTTAATGGAAGTCAATTGATTTTGACAACTTCCATTTGTCCACCTATATAAATGGAGAGATTTCTGGGAAGAAAAATGCCTTCTTCTTGTAACCGTCATGTAAACCACACGTGTTTGTCCAGCTTTATATTGCTTTGTGTGTTCTATGTGTTTTATGTTTGCAAGTGTACTTTTGACATATATATTAAAATAAAGATATAAAAACTACCAAGATACCATCACGATTACTTAATTATCATGTAAATCTTCTTGGTGATGTGTTTCATATATTTATACAGGGTGACTCGTTACCAAAGTGACAAACTGGTTAAGTTTGTATGGGGGTTGTGAGACCACTCGGAATCACATAGGAATGCAGCCGTATTTGCAAGCTACGGTGCAAAGAAGCAGATAAAAAGAACAGAAACATCAACTCAATCATGACACAGAAAATATTTTATTGAGAAGTGTTTCTAAAACAGGTGTTAGAATGTGCATGAACTTCTCCTAGGCTCAAATAAAGAGTTTGGTGTACAAGACTCCTGTTCCTTCAGTTGAAGGAAACGTCCGAATATCTGTAGCTGCCGATTGGATACGTAGCATGCCAGGAATCTTTCAGAATGTAAGAAATTCCATGCAGTGTCACTGTCAGGCTACCAGGCACCTTCTGGTCTCCAATTTCAAGCACCTGTTGAAATACAATCTTTCAATAAGCACTGTTTTATCCCATTCATATGTTGCTATTTCTGTTCATTTTTTCTACTTCTTTGCACCAAAGCTCGTAACTGCAGCATTTGCGACCCTACATTCCAATGTGATCATCTATGTACCCCTACACGCCCTACCAGTTAGTTGGACTGGAAACGAATCATTCTGTATATATATATATATATATATATAATTCTTTTTATTATAAATCAAAAACAGCATGTGGATGAGATTGAAATAGGAGATTTAGACTTCATTGAAGAAAATAAAATGAGGTGATTAATTTAAATGATACCAAACATTATTGTGTAAAATATCTGTACCAAATTCGATGTAAAAAAATAACATTGATTAGATTATTACATATATTAATAGAATTAAATTGTACTAGAACTTATTTTTTTTAAAGGATGAGTATTTCTCGGTGACATTAAAAACTACCTTACAAGTAACAAATTGGATAATAGAAAAATATAAAAAAATATTATTATTATTTTAAAATTTTACTTGTTTCATTATTTTTTGTCTACACAATAAAACAAATAAAAAATTAAAAATGTGCGCGTAATTTTAATAATTGGATTTCAATTTTTTTTCAAGATAAATGCCAATATAAATAAATTTCTGAGGTTTATATAAAAATTTATGCGGTTAATAAAATACAACTTTGTAAGCACTGTCTTTTTTTTTCTTAGAAGAGGGCATATTATGTACGATAAGAAATATTGTGTTTATTTTTTACCATCTGAAAATATTCTCAACATACTTCCGAAATTTTTTCAAACTTTCTCTCTTTTTTTTACTGGGAAAACTATTTTGTATGGAAAACTTATATTTGAGACAAGATTTTTAAATGAATGAATGAGTGATTATTAATGTCACACTGTTCAGTTACTCGAGGGCTTTTGGCTACGGACCTCGTAATTTTGAATCAAGATAAAGTGACGTGGATGACACCTGAGCTGGCAATCCCTCTCCTAATTACACAACCACACCAACGGGAAGACGTTTGAGCTTTCGACAGATTTAATGTGCTCTCCTACATGGAAGGTCTTCAGCGGTATTAAGCTCGAACTCATGACACGCCGGCCACGAGTCTATTACCTTGACCACTAGGCTACCGCTGCAACACAAGTTTTTGGAACAGCCGCGAAAAAAATAAATTTTAAGAATTAACCTAACATTAAACATTTATCTAGCTTATAAAATTATACTTTCATCAGCTCTTGGTAAATTATGGAGCTTAAAAGTTTATTCCAAATAGATTTTAGTTAATAATTTAAATGTTTTTAATTACTATAAGGAATAGCTTTTTACTTTTTAATAATTAAAGAAATACCTTAAAATTCTCTACCTGTGTAGGAGTAAGTTTGGAGCAAGTTAAAAGCATGTCATTAAAACTTATATTTTATTGACAAACGAAATAACAGCAATCTGCCGCCCACCCCACCCCCCAATATATATATATATATATATGCTTACCACTACACCAAAAAATGTGGCAAGTTCCAAAGACAGCAGTAAAACGACTCTAATCATATTAAAACTACGCTTCCAAGTATTTGTTTTAATTTTGCATCCAATTAAGGAAGTTGGTTGGTTTAAGGAACACGAAAGGAGGTTTGAAAGGCAATTTGTAAGAGAAAGTAGGGGCCTTTTAATTAATTAAGAACCTTGGATATTTTCCTTGAAGTAAAGGCTTAATTACTTGTGGGTTTAAAATTTGATCAGTTAAGGACAGGAAAATCAATGCATTGGATTCCGAAAATTGTTCTAATAGAAAGTAATGCATATTTTTGGAACCGTAATGCAGTTTATGGAATAAATATTGAAATAATGTGATGGAGTTATGTGACATGTCTCAGAAATTAAGTAATTAACATATTTATTCTTTTCTTGCCTTGTATTTCCCTAAGTTGAGAGTTTCCCTATGCATATATGTGATAATTATATACAGTTAAGTACGTTTAATGCGAAAACGGTTAAGACGAAATATCGGTTTACACGAAGTAATGTAATAATCCCGATTAACTATTTTTCTCTTAACACGAAACTAAAATCTGTTAATACTAAAATATTTCCCTTTACTTAATGAAATATTTGAGAAAGTGTTTAAATTACTGGATTGTCCCACTGTATCATCGGAAGAATTCATTTCAGAAGGCAATGATAAGTTGTGTATAATCCCAATTATGGCAGAAAAAGGCATTGTGATGTTTGTTCAAAGCACAAAAAATGTCATTGATGCTGGTTCCGACGACGAAAATGAAATGAATAATGCAGCTCCTGTTCTTAAGTCATCCGAAGTGAAGGACAACATGAAAGGTACACGCAGTTTTTTAGACGCACATTCTAATGTTGAAATGTATAGCAAAATTTACCACATCGGACAATTTGTTAATGATTTGATGTAAAAAAATAAAGTTATTAAGAAAAATATCAGATTATTTTCCAAAAACTTAGTAATTTTTTTTTTTTTTTTCCTTTTTTTTTTTTCTTCAAGAAAAACTTGAAAAAGTTCTGTACTAAATTTCACTAAGTTCTTGTGAATGTGTTTGTGTCATTGATTTTTGTTAAATACTTGCTTATATACGCATCTAAGTATATATAATCTACTGTAATAAACTTAATTTTGTTGAATGCATGTTTTTTTTCTGCAATATCTTTTAACACGAAAAAAAAAAATATTTCAATGCCCCTCAATTTCATGATAAATGACTTTTACTGTAGTTTAATAATATCTGGATATTACATTATGTGTGCAAGAATTTACTTTTAAAACATTCTATATTTTGAGGATTTTATTGATATTTGTTTCAAATTTCTTTAAAATTTAAAAAAGCATTCAAGAATATTAATGAAAAGAAAAAGTGTGTGTGTGTTACCTCTTTGGAGTAACAAGATTAAAATATTTCTAAAAGTCTTCAGCAGGGCAAACTGGGCCAAGGACGAAAGGCGGTCACGAGCAGAGTTGAACGATATTAACCTTCAGTCAATCGGATCAGCCAAACATGAGATAATCACGATTTAAATAAATTTAAACACCCCCACAATGGAACAATAGGACATAATATGGGGAGGGGGTTGAAGGCGGGAATGATCTGTCCCATTCTGCATATTTCTAATCAAATCATTTTCGTATCCGTTCCTACGGAACACAAGGCAAGGGTTCGCTGGCGCGAAGGGATAGCTCAGTGGTAGAGCATTCAAATGTAGTTTGGGAGGTCCCCGGTTAAAACCCGGGTGCCCCTATTTTCAGGGAAGTGAAGAGAAATAATTTTTTTGAGAATTTCGAAGGCAGCAATGATCTATCCCGTTCTATATATTTCTAGACAAAGCATTTTCGTATACGTTCCTAATGAACACAAAGCAAAGGTTCGCAGAAGCGGGTGTATAGCTCAGTGGTAGAGCATTCGGCTGCAGATCAAGAGGTCTCCGGTTCAAACCCGGGTGTCCCGTTCTTCAGGGAAGTGAAGAGAAATATTTTTCTGAGAATTTCGAAGGCGGGAATGATTTGTCCCTTTCTGTATATTTCTAGACAAAGGATTTTCGCATGCGTTACATCCGTGACGGGGTGCGCACGCATTGAAAAAATTTACCCTCATCCTATTTCTCTAACGCTTCAAAAGAAGTATAAATTCAAAAATTAATTAGATTTTATATAACTTATATATAGGACATTTTAAGGCATGGGTCAACTGGTCCAAGTTTTGATATGAAAAGGGACAGGGGTAAGGGGTAGTCTCGTTCTTGACTCCACTTAAATAACTTCAAATGTTACTCTTGGACAATATCTCCGAAAAACTGGGAATTTTAAAATATATACGTACCAATAGGAAACAGTGGTAAAACTCTTCATAGGATGGTTTAAGCCCACCAATATGCACCATTATTACTCATTTTCCCGAAAGGTAGCGGTCGGTAGATGCATTTTGTGCTTTAACTTGAGAGATTGTGTCATACGCACTTATTTGTTAAGGTTTACTATTTGTGCACTGGTGTTTGAGAACGTATGCTATACACTGCCATTTTAAAAAGTTTGCACGTGGGAACTAAAAAATTCTAAAATGTCACCACAAATAAACAAAAAAAAATCAATAAAGTCCATAAAAAATAAACGTTCGAATGTTTTCAAGAAGTAAGGTTCTCTAAAATAATTTATACAGAACTCTCTTACATACATATATTTCTAATTTGTGTCATTTGAAATGTTTAAGGTATCCCACTACGTGTTCGGAACCATGATTTTAAGAAAGCACAAAAATGGATAATTTTCATGATATTTAGTGTCGCTTAGATTAGCGTGTTAGCGTATATAAAATTGTTTTAAGAATAGTATTACAATAAAAAATTACTTAAGTACATTATATTTTGACAAAAAATGAACATAGAATGACCTATTTTCAAAATATTCTCCTTTTGTGAAAAATGCTTCTATTATAATAATATTTTGCCTGCATATAGCTCAGACCTCTATATAGAGGCTCAACTATGCTTTTTGAAAATTTCTCATTATTTTCAGAGTTACAACCCATTGAAATAATTATCAGCGTTTTTTTTTTTCTTAAAATTTCTCCCCTCTATTGTCGTAAAACATGGATAAACTCACTTCTAAGTTATATAGTTCAAAAAATCTAGTTGATCCTCTGGACAGAGGTCTGAGCTGTATACAGGCAAAATATTATTATATAATAGAAGCATTTTTCACAAAAGAAGAATATTTTGGAAATGAGTCATTCTATGATCATTTTTTGTCCAAATATTTTTTACTTAAATAATTTTTTATTGTAATACTATTCTTAAAACAATTTTATGAACATTTTCTAATCTAAGTGATACTAAATATCATAAATATTATCCATTTACACGCTTTTGCAAAATCACGGTTCCGAACGTAGTCGGTTACCTTTTTTTTAATAATTACTTTCCTGTGTTACTAATCTAAAAAAAAATCAGATTATTCTGCATGAAACATAAATAAAAATATACTCCTACTATATAGGATTTATGAAGATATAATGGAAATTTTAGTATTTATTTAGACATAAATAAATGCATGAAATTTAAACCTAAATTATATATCCGTGCAAGTTTCAAATACTGCATGCATTCTTTTTTGCAGTATGTTCTTAAATTATGCATTGAGCCTCTTGTTTTGCATTTCATTGTTAAAGAAGTTGTCATATTCAAAGAATGAAACTTATGAATGGGAAGGGGGAAAAAGAGAATAAAAAGAAATGTTTTAGAGACGAGTCAAAAGAAAGTGAACTTAAAGAATAGTAGCACAGTGCGGTTCATTGACCAAAATTAATAAAAGTGAAGGGACAAAATTCTTATTTGGCTGCTAGTCAAGCACTGGAATGAGAAAAAATGCACACATGGAAAATATTTCGAATCTTTTTGTCATCTGTTTTTTCTGACATTCCTGGCGACATTCCAAAAACTCTTTCATGTTATTCTTTTTTTTTTTTATCTAATATTCGTTGAGTTTCGTTGCTTACCATCTGACGGCCTTGTTTGCAAAGAGAATGCGGTTGGTTTTTCGCATTTACTGACATTGAATCCAACAAACCTAAAATAAAGTTTTTTTTTTCTACTTCAACTTCGTATCCTCAAATGCTTAGGTTGGCCACCAATTGTTGTAAGCTTCTGTCAAAATGTGATTTATTGGTTGTATCAAGTGAAATCTTCTTTCGGAAAAAAAGGGGAAAGAATAAACAACGAAAAATTGGAATACACGATATCATAGATTGGAATTTTCAAGGTACATTACCCAGTTGTAGGAAACCAAGAGTAAATTGGAAATAAAATTTCTGTAAAAAAGATAAACAATATTAATGATATAGAGCAGAGCGAATGTGAAAGTTTGAAGAATATACAGTACTTAATTATTTGACCTAGATAACTAAAGGTTTTGAGAACAGAGGAAAAAAAAGATTTAGCAGAATGGAAAATTTTGAAACTTGTTTTGATCATCAATTTATATGGATATAAACAATAGAACAAATACTTGGAAGTATAACGAAATATGAATTCGCTTCAATTTTAATTGTGTAAATGTTATATTTTTATACTTATACTTACAAAGTAAAAAAAAATAAATAATAATAAGGCTTTAAAGGGTATTTTTTCTGCACTTTGTGTATACACGTAGAAATTCTGAACGTGTTTGATAAACTATTCATAACCTAGAACCTTTTTTTAACAAATCTACAAATGATCTCTCCAATTTGTATGCATATGGGTTGCCCAAATGAAAAGTGGACAAGTTGAATAAAAATAATACCGTTATTGGAAAGCAAAATAGATTTATATGGGAGTTGTTACTCGGGTCCCATCGTTTCAATAGTATGCCGAAGCAATTCACTATAGAAAGATCATGGGTAATTCTCAATTAATTCCACACAGCTTCCTTCATTTCATTGTTCGAATGGAAGCGTAAGTATTTATAAAAGTGTGAAAGGTTTCAGGGAAACAAATCTGGACTATACGGTGGGTTTTGTCACATTTTCAACTGGATTTTTTAAGGTTATCTGGATTTCAAAAGAGACGTTTTGACTGTCATTCTCTTGGAGATCTGATATCATTTGCCACCCTTCACAAAAACTTTGGCCCCATTTGTCCTCGTTCGCTGATAGAGGCCCAAATCCAGCTCACCTTCCGCAATCAGAGACCATACAACGGCACATTGCTCCGATATGGACACATCCAAGAACAACACGACTTTACTTTTTATTTATTCCTTCTGCTATGAACAGATTTCATTATTACACATTGCATGTGGTGTGCACCTCCTATCTCTCTTTATATCCATGCTCGGTGTTGCTGCTGTAGCTGCAATCCTTCTGGCGCAATCGCACGTTCCCACTTTTCCTTTGTGTAACCTTATATTTATAAACTGTTCTAACTTTTTATCAGTAATGCATCCATTTTTCTATTTATTGAAATATACTTATGAATTCAGAAATTCATATGAACTTGATACTTTCATTTTTGATTGAGATAATTATTTTTAGAATAAAAATTGTTGTGTGTGAATTTCTTTTCAAATAAATGCGTAGTAATAATCAAAAAAAAATTATGGTCATCTTGTATAAATCTTTAGTTCAGATTATTCAGATACCCATTGTTATTTTCGGAAACATTACGCATTTGGAAATTCAAAAGTAATTTCTATATTACCTGTTTTTTCAGTAAACAAAATCGGTGTTTAAAATTCGATTATTAAATAAAAATATTTAAATGATTGATATGTAATCAAAAACGAAAGGAAACTTAATTTAAACCCTTATAAATGTAAATGTATCTACAGTATAACTGTGTAAGTCTTTTAAACTGTTTCATGGATTTGACTTTTCCCAACGACCTAAAATTTATTTTTTATTTTTCTACGTTTATATGTATATTTACAAATACTTGGGAATAATTGCATTTTTAGTTTATGCTATAAGGGCGTTCTTCTATGCGATCTATTCCTAAGAGCATTGGTTCTGCAAAATCTACAGCTTCCTAAACATGAGTAAACTCCTACTTCTTCATTGACACTTTATGTGCAATGGACAAGTAATGTGATATGGACATTTAACAAAAAAAAATTAATAATAAAATTATGGAAATTTCAGTTGATATTGATATATCTTAATTTTCTTCGATAAATAGTTCGACTTACCTAGAGTTTGGGACTATGATTACTTTTATTTTAACTCGTAAGGTGGAAAGCTCCAATCATTTAGTTTTTAATAAGTAAATCTTATACCCCTTATTTAAAAATAGCCTGAATTTAACTTACAATTAATACATTAATTCTAACTATGCCACAAATAATGTCAGATTATCAAAGTTTTGTGAATAATATTTTGTTAACTTTAAAAAAATATTTTGATCATATAATAAAAACTTACTCTCTATTTTTTGCTTCAATTGTGTTTTAAATTGCTGACATTTTTAAGAAAGCACATAGCTATCTCATAATTTTTGTTCGAGCATTTAAAATAAAATTCTAATCAATAATAAATATTTTAAGAGAATTGTGATTCTATATTAACATGCTACGGCAAAATTTTATTCAAGCTGTTTGACAAGAGTACTCAATATAATACATTGGGAAATGCGCTTGCAGTTGTTTCTTTTTGTTATGTGTGATCATAGTATTTGATAAAAGAAAACCATTACCACAAGGTTATTTTTAGGTATTTGATTGTATCTATTTTAGTTATTGTCTGATTTACTTATATTTTATTTTAATGGTTTTAAATACG